CAGTTCACACAATTACCAACCTCATTCCTAGGTGCCGACAGATGAAAAACCCTTTAAAACAACAAAAAGCCAGGCCAGTGACTGACAAAGGTGCCTCCAATAAAAAAGATTAGAAATTAGAATACAAGAGTTGTCTCTTGGACGCTAGATACTGCAGGAGCCCTGAGGCTACAGGAAAAAAAACTTCATGTGTTTTGTGCTTAGTTCTGCAGCAGCCTTAAATGGATTTCAGACTGGGGATTTGCATTACATGGGCTATTCAACAGAATGGTGCAGTTATTTCATTATGTTATCCTGTGCTGCATATTTTGATATTATGTTGATCAATCAAGGGAACTTTTGAGATGTAGTCAGATGATGGTCAACCCTAACAAAGCAAATAGTTCTTTGGGATTGTGTACACAAAGATACAGCATGCAGATCCATGTTGGCCCCTGGTGCTGCCCCCCATGCACTACAGATCCCAGACTAGTTGGAATGGGTGTTGCATGTGGCATGTGCCCTGAATCTGATAGTGGGGTGGGGAAGATTAAGGGCTCAAACCCACTCATGGACCAGCCCTATGTTACTCATTAGGGGTGTTCGAAGCAGGCCCTATTCAACATAGTGGGGCCTATTCGGACATAGACACAGCTTTAAATGTTTTTCTACATACCTCATGATACCAGTGTGGCTTGTGAACTCTGCGATGCTGGGGCGCATGGAGCGTCCCACAGGAGGGGGAGGCCCTCTATGTGCTCAGCAGCAAACCCGGAGGTGGACTGGAAGTCCACTTCCAGGTCCGCCAGGGAGTGCCCTGGGCACCCCCCACTACACCCGCCCCCCCCAGCTCAGCGATTGGCCACACAGGGACCCTGGGTGCCCCCCCAGACCCAAGATACACCAGTCGCTGTGGGTGGGGAGGGGGCCCTGTGCACTCCCCAGCAGACCCGGATGTGGACCAGACGTGCTTCTGGTCCACATCTGGGTCTGCTGCCAAGTACGCAGGGGAGCCCCCTGCGCTCCTGTGTGACATTCCATGCACCCCAACGTCGCAGCATTCACAAGCTGCCTGCTACCTAGAGGTATGTAGAAAAAACATTTAAAGCTGTGTCTATGTCTGAATCGCTGAATCTCTCTGAATCAATTCGGAGGGCTCTGATATGATTCGGAGAGATTAAAGGGTCCTCTGATTCTATTCAGATTCAGAGATTCGACCACCGAATTGGGTCAAAGCTCCACCGAATCAAATCAGGGACCAAAGCTTCGCACAGCTCTATTACTCATCTGGTACATGGGGCCAGATGAGTTTAACAACCCTAATTTATGCTGCAAAAACCCTGCCACTGCTGTGCTGGCAGAGCCCCCTAATTAAGACCAACATAGACAAGTGAAGAAGGTTGTGTTGGGACAGTAATGCCATCTCCACAAACATAAATGCCCTCCTGTCTTCATAACTTCATCCACACTGGAGGTGCTTCTGGCAGAGGCATTAGCCAGGGTGTAACCTGATGATGGTGTGCAGGCACACTTTGAAGGGGAGACTAAGCTTTCACTTAAAAAAGAACAGTTTGAGGCCTATGCAGAGTTTGTCTTGATTTATAATATAGCTCCATTACATGTGGCTTTGAAAATCAACATTTCCCAGTGATATTTCCAGCCCTAACATTACAGCATATGCTGGTGACTAAGAACCAACCAGAAACCCACCAGCCTCTATACAAGCTGACTGAAAGGAACCAATGTCTCTGGTGTCTAGTTAACTGGGATTTTTTTTAATTGAAATCCATTACTGTGGGTGCAGGACATTTTCTTTTAGTTTTGAAGACAAAAGCTATAACTAGTTTCCCCTACAACTCCCCCTGGCTTCACAAGCACAGACACACAGTGCATTTTAATCTTGGTCAAGGCTGGTTGCCTCTCCTCCCTGCCCTGTGCTAAGAGGTCCCTTCCATCCCTAGTGTCTGTGAATCTGTGAAGAACATATGGGCTGACTGAGTTCCTGAGTTTCATTGTGCCAGTTTGTGGGTGTGCACATGGGAATAATGTCTGTTACAGTAGTTGTTATACTGCTGTTCATTGCCTTGTTAATTGCTCCATCCTAAGATTGATGATGACAGTCTAGCACCTGAGGGGATGTCCAAACATAGGCTTAGGGATTTGCATGTGCCATGAGACACCAAAGTAGAATTCCCCAGTATCAGCATAAATGCCAGTCATTTGCATTAAGCTTTGCATTTTGCCGATTATTCATTAGACCCTTTCTTTGCAGGCAGGGCAAAGACCTTGTGATGAACAAGCATGTTGGTCACCTCTTGAGGACCAAGGCTGTTGAGCATGATGATGGAGGGGTAGCGGCTGGTGTAGCTGTGCTGGATACTCCCTACTTGATATGAAGAGGATTCCTTTCTACCCTATGGCTGAGCTAGCCCAAGGGTTGACTTGCCAGGGAAAGATTTTTTTTTCCTTTAGGGTGTGTTTACCAAATGTCTTAACACAGGTCTAATCAAGTGAGTAGAGGCATTCCTCCTGTGTCAGGATTATTTGAGAGAATGTATGACCATATTACACTAATATTAGTATACTAATATTTGTATGCAGTGCTCCCCTTTTAATTTTTCCCTCAGAACTGGCTTTTGTTAGGTTTTTCTTTTATTGCTATCTTAATTCTACTTGCTCAGTGTCCCAGTCACCACATCTGCTCCAAGCAGCCATGTGAGTGCAAGGCTCTGAAGCGTCCTGAATGCTCCTTGAAGGAGACTGCCCTGTTCCTTGGAGCTCTGTGGAACTGGGAGATGGGCTTTCCATTGTGCAGTGGTACAGAACATGACAGTTGTGTTACTCTTGAAGTTCCTGATAAGGGAGGGTTACATTTCCTTATTTTTGCTTGTCTTTTTCCATGTTTTCTGCTTTTTCACGTAGTTGCTGTCTTCAACAGCATTTGCTTCCTGAGCCAAAGAAAAACCTTATGGTCTAGGAAAAAGGCAACAAGGAGGAGTTTAGGCCCAAAGTTCTTTCCCTTACCTTGCTAACTTCTGTTTCTACATATTATGTGGGACCCTTCTAGCAGTTAATGTCTTTGTTTCTACTAGAGTAACCTTATGGGCCCAGGGAATGTCTGGGTGTGCTCCTGCTCTACCTACTTCCTGTGAGTTTTAGCTCTTCAGAGCTGAAAAATCTTCAGAGCAGGAAGTGGTGGATGGGTAGCAACACAGCCTCTGCCTAGTATCTTTTCTGCAGAGGTGCTCTGTTTCCACAGTGCTGTGTGCTCTGGGGACTTGAAAACGTCACCGGTAATCTTAGACTAATCAGGCAGTAGGTGGTTTTACTGGTGAAGAGCTAAATCCAATAGCTTCTGTGATTTGAAGTGGAGCCAACTGATGATGATGCTATAAAGTGCGTAGGGGTAAAACTTCTGATTTCGCTGCAATGTTAAGTGGGGAAGAAAGTCAAGTGTGCAGAATTGGTGAATGCCAGACTTAAGGTAGCGTCTGCTGCCACCAATATATGCATTAGGGTGCAGTCATCAGTATTGTTTCCCCGATACACACCTTCCAGCATTATTGCACACCAGTCAAACCTGGCTCTGAAGAGTCATACCTTTCAATTCCCTTAGGGCCTTTTTCTGTGATGCTCATGGCTGTGGTATCCACAGACATTAATTACATTTTCTCCACTGCTCCTATGAAGTAGGATGTGATGATTCTCTTTACAGATGCGGGGGCAACTGAAGCAGGGGCAGCCTGACCAAACACCAACTTCAGAATGCTTGGATTCACATCTACAAGAGTGTTTCTTTACTATAGGGGTTTGGAGATGTGTAAAATAGCAAACTAAAAAAATGCCAGGATCCATTGTGTTACATGGTACTGACATGTATGTACATGGGTCATCACCTGGGCTGTACTCTTGAGTGTTACTGCACAGACCTCTTGGGCTACTGCAGTAAGTAATATGGAATGGCAGCCTATTACTACTCTCACCAATAGTAGCAGGAGCATTTTGTAATGAGCACAGACTTTTTTTCTCCATTCTCTCTGTCTCTGTTTCTGTCTCATTTTTGTCCCTTCGTTTATGTGGGTGCACAAATGAATTTTAATTTCATGCAATTTTTGTTTTTTGGGGGTTTTTTTTGCTGTTGAACTATGATTTACAGTCAATAACATTCCTGGAATGGGATCTTTATTCCCAAGCTACTACAGAAGCCATATGAGTACAAAGAGAAGCAAGAAACGTACTCACGGTAAGATGCTGAGATGCCCTGGAAAGACTCGCACGTGCCCTGCACACTGCCCTGGAATGGTAGCAGGAGGAGAAAAGATTTAAATAAAGCAAATATTTCTTTCAAATAAGTTTCCATCTGTCTGATCTATGCCCTCAACTCCCAAGATGCATTAATTGTACAGTCATTGCGTGGCATGCCAGCCATAGTTAAGATGGGTTGGGTGTTTTAAATAGGCACTTTTAGGCCTTAAAGGGTGCTTGTACACTTGACAAAATTTGCCCTTTCTTGTGGTTCAATGGTGTTACAGTTTTCATGTGCATGTTTTTCTGGCATTTTAAAAGTCTTCTGGTGTTTTAAAGTAAAACGCATCCCGACATATTTTAGTTTGGGTCGCAAGGAATTAAAACGCATCTATGGATTCATCATGTGCGGATAGAAATGTATTCAAAGATGTGTAATGAGCCCCTTTGTCCACCAGATAACACTGCAACTTTTGTGTAGTTCAACAGCTGGTGGACAAAGGGGTGCTTTGAATTGCAGATAGGAGGGGAAGAGGTTACCTGCCCTGTTTTGGTAACTCGGTGTAATGTGTTTCTTTAGACACCAGGTATTCCACACCAGATGTTGCGGTCCAGTCAGCCCGACACTGAATCAATGTTTGTTCTCCTGGATGGATACTTGCCGCCCCGCCCCCACATGCCTTTGCCAGGGTGACAACGGCACCATCACCCCATTATCCATGGTTTCAAACCGCTTGGGTGCCTAAAGGGACTGCTTTCATTTACCCTTCAGTCAGACAGAGCAAATGGTGTTGCCTTCTCATAGCACCACTTTTTTTTTCTTGTGCTGGCTGCCGCATCTGTGATTGCACAAGGTCACCCCGCAGTCAGACTCATAGCAGCAGGCAAGAATGGCACCTAATCTGCCACATCCTGGGCTATTTTCAGATGCCCTTAGAGCAACTGGTGCCTGCGTGCCCATAGTACTGTGTGCAGCCAGCCCATTACCTCCACACTCCTTTGTGCTGCTGTGCTAGTCATGATTGCAGTCTCACTCCACATGCAGACCCACACAATGGCAGCAGGCAGCCAGCACTTACATTGCCATCATTAGGGTTGCTATATTTCCATGTTAAAAAATGAGGTGTCCTGGTCGAGCCCCATCCGTTGTCCCTCATTCTAGGACTGAGGCCCCTGAGCCATCCTACTGCCCCCAACTTGTGACATGGGCACCACTGGCCCTGGCTCTGCCCCTCACTCCTAACCCTCAGTACAGTACCCTGCTCTGCTCCCCACTCCCCCCGCCATGTGCCGTGCTGTTGCAGCTTGTGGATTTACTGATTTTTTTTCCAGTTTTACAAGTTAAGCAACCCTCCATAATGTTGCAAACAACTGTTCATTTGGCATTGATGACAACAGCGCCAGGAACAAAGCCTGGCAGCCTGGCCTGATCTGATGGGCACCTACACTGAAAGAAAAGAAGACAGAAAAGGTTTTTTACATAATTAACTGTTACTGATTTATTATGCATAACTTGCATAACCAACCATTACAGAATTTTCAAGGTAACCATTAGTAGACCTGTGCAAATAGATTTCACAGATCTACTAATTTTCACAGATCCAAATTTGATTTGGGTTTGGATTTGGCCAATTCGCATGCCAGCTATTCAATTCGGAGCTCCGAATTGGTTTTTCGCTTCGATTTGGCCAAAGAGAGAAGGGCAGTCCAGCTTGGACTCAAAGGCCTCAATGAGGTTTTGCTACTTCACATTGGAAAGCAGCTCTCATATTCTTGGACTTCACCCTGTACTGGATCACTGTCTTGTGCCCCTGCTGGGCAAGTCTGGAGACATCCAGGTAGATGTGCAAGTTCATACTCAGGCTGTTGCCGATGCCGAACTGGCTTTATCCCTCAAGCTCCCCCAGCATCAGCACCAGGCTCTTAGTTTCTTCATAGGATGAAGTTGTCCTAGTCTTGCGCACCCTGACTGGCTGTCTTCTCTCCCTGGTCTGCTCTCTTCTCTCAGCCTCAGACATCTCATATCAATAAGGGGTATCTGTACCTAGGCCCCTGTGTCCTCAATTTATAGGGCTTTTATTCAGCAGGTCAGGAAAAGTTCACCCCCCACCATGATGGTGCAAAAGATTTGTACAAAAAGACATGCTGGTGCCATCCTGGCAACTTTGTTTCTTTTGTCTTTCTTTTTTCCAAAAAGGCACCTAAAATCTGTGGACGGTGTAGGTGAAAAATGAGCCATGTACTGATGGGTATCCTAAGGAGGGTTGCCTACAGGATCACTTTATTCTGTGCTGTGAGAATCAGACAAGCGGAGAAGAAGCATTCTGGAAAAAACACCAAGTAGGGCTTGCCTGCCTGCCTGCCTGCCTGCCTGCCCAGCTGTCCAAGTTGCAAAAAGGGTGCCTAAAATCTGTGGATGGTGTAGGTAAAAAATGAGCCATGTACTGATGGATATGCCAAGCAGGGCTGCCCACAAGGTCCCTTTTGGGCCATGGCACAACAGAGGGCTAGCCACAAGTTGCCCATGTGTCAAGGAACCAGTCCCTGCTCAGTCTCCATACCTGGTGAAGCAGTAAGTCAAGAACGAAGGAAGGAAGGAATAAATAACAATATGTTAGCTATATGGCATGACCACCCAGGGGAAGACAAGGAGGAAAGCCTGTAAACAGAGCAGTTGTACACATACTGGATTTAATCCTTATTAAATTAAATAGGTTTATAAAAATTTAAGTAGTTTATTTTAGAATGTTTCATCATTGTTTGCACGTAATAGGCACATACCAATATTGAGGCAGCAGGAGAGGCGCATACCAATCCACCCTGCTGCTGTCTTTGGTACTGAATTACAGCAACAGGTGCATGTGAACCACTAATAAACCACTAATCTGCTCCCTCCTCACTCCTGACACACCCCTCCCCACCAAAATACAAAGCCAGGGACCCTCATGCTAATCCCTGCTGGTAAACTGTGCACTCCTGCACGGTCATAGGCCCCCACACCACACCCCCAAACCACATGAACTCCCACCCATTGTGAACTCTCTCACACACACACACACACACCACACAAACTCCCACCCCGCCTCCACACCCTCCCACACCCTTTTAAAGGGCCACTGAAAGGCTCCCTTCCCCCAAGCCAAGGATCCGCGCAGTAACCTTGTGGCCATCATAATCCCATCCCACCCACCCTCACAACTCCACCCCACCTCACCTCACCCCACCTACCCTCACAACACTGCAGTGGTGTGCAGTGACAATGGTAAGTCAAGTGGTCATAAATGGCAGCCAGGAAGCTGCTGCAAGCCACCAACCAAACCCCATCCCCCGCCCCTGCTACGTCCACTGTGGGCAATCTTATGAGGTTTGATGGCCGGCCACAGGCAACTGTGGCTGCCACTGCCCCCCCACCCAAGCTCCGTCTGCCCATGCAGGACAACCACTATGATGCACAGTTGCACAGCCCTCAGCACCTGGGGTCACGTCGTATGCAGTTGCAAGACAACTGTTGTGAGGGTCCTGCCTAGCAGCCACCAGCCCCCCTGGGAGGACAGCCTCTGCTCCACAATGGCAATGGGCACAGACCATGCCACTATTGCATGTGCCCCAGGCCATGCACAATGCTCTTTATGCAGGCTGAAGTTCACCCTAGCCACTATGCCTTGCTGATGCTGATCCTGCTGGTGCTCCATGCACACCTGTACTCATGGTTCAGGACAATTAGCTACAATGGTGCAGGGGGCAAGCCTGGTTTGCCACACAACATCTGCCAACAACTGGATGGATACCTAGCACAGTGGATGGATACCTAGCACAGTGCTACGTGACCCTAAGCCCTGATACTGAGGATGACATTGCCACAGAAATTGATGCCTTCCTCCTGCACAGTTCTGGGGAAGGGAAAGGGGATGACATATAAAAAGGTATGTGAACCTTATCACACCTGTGTGTGTGTGCTTTGCGGCAGTCCTCTGAGGTGGCGTGACCAAGAGGCTTGGGCAGTGCTGTTATGCCATTCTACCTACCCTACCTACGCCCACAAAAATAAATATCAATCTCATGTTTTAATATGAACTAGTTAATGTCCTTTATTTCTCAGCCACCACAACTTTGATGGAATAAGGTAGGGAAATAAACACAGTTCTGAGAGATGAAGAAGATTTTGTGTCTGCAGTTCAGCAAAAATAACTCTTCGGCACAGTTATTATGTCTCTCTTAGATAACTAACATATTAGATATATTTAGTTCCCTTTCTCTTTGGGAGCTCTCAATTTCTTGGTTGCTTGCCCCATTCTCCTCCGCACGAATCCCAAGCAAATGGCAATTCTATGCCACTTTGTATTTTCTACTGATATCAAAATCTGGGGTTCTCTTCTCTTTGTTAATCTTCATCCATTCTTGTTCCTTTCTCTTTTTTTAAATCCCTGGGATGGTACCCTACGTCCTCAGGTATCAGACTTACCAACTCAGAGGTCTCCCTCATCACCTCACTTCAGCTTCCCAGGTAAGTGTCTCTCCAGGACCCTTCTTCTGTTCCCTTCTCTCTTCCGTCTGTCGTCTCTCTCTCCTGTAGTCTTTCTACAGATTTCTTCTGGGTTTCTTTCTTCTCTTTTCTAATTCTGGGCTCCGTTCCCCTTTAAACCCTTCCAGCTGTTTCCTGCCTCTCTCATCAGTGCTCTCTCCTGGCTCCCTCTACACATGCTGCTCTTTGTTTTTGTTTTCATCCAGGTCCCCACTCTCTCCTCCATCTGGGTATCCCCACCCCTTTCTCTCTGGACTCATTGCTAAGGTAAATTCTCTGTTTCCCTTCACTCCTCTGGAATTCTGTAATAGGGAAGACGTGGTGCCCTGTTACATATTCCATCCAAGAACTTACTAAAATAGGAACATATAGAAACAAATAGGAACCCCTCTCCTGTCAATTGGCTTTCTTTCCTGACCATTCACCCCTCCACTCTTGCTCCCTGAACTGCACTGGTTCTCTCCTGATTCTGCTGGCATTGGG